GTCACATCCAGGAAAGGGACGCAGCTGCACCGGGGCTGGCCCCGCACCGAATTTCCCAGGCTTCGGCCGATCGCGGGCAGGTCCCCAGGGGCGCCGCCCCCGGTTTCGGCTCAGAGCCGGCAGACGCTCGGTCTCATGCGCCGCCCCGGCAGTCGGTGCCTGTCCCCCGTGGGCGCAGGGCTGGGAGGGGGACGGGATGCACTGGTGGCGTCCCCAGCTCCTGGGTCGGGGCGGGTAGAGGGGGGAGCAGGTTTTGGGTCGGTGTCGAGGGGACAGCAGGTTCCTCGCTGGCCTGGGGATGGGCGGCAGAGCCCTGCCCGCTGCTCCCGGCCGAGCCGGTCCCCGCTGTGCCACTCCTCCGCTGGCTCCACAGTCGCCTTTTGTCTGGGTGGCCGCGGCCCCGTGCCAGCTCCCGGCGGCTGCTGGCACCGCCACCCCCAGCCGGCAGAGCCGGTGTGGGGCCGGATCCGGCCCGAGGACCTCCCTGACAGCCGAAGCTGGGCTTTAGCACCCTGGGATGGATGCGGCCCCTTTCCTGTTGGGTTTGCTGCCGGGGTTGGGGTTCCCCGCTTTCATTGCACCCGTTGCCTCTCAGGGTGCACTGGGCTCGGTGCCCTGTGAATTACTCGGGGGCACCCCAAATTTTGGGGTTTGCTTGGGGGGGGTGGCATGTGTCCCCATCCCCCCCCTTCCCAGAACCAGAGCGTGGGGACGCCAGGGGTGGCAGCCCCTCTCCCTGCCTGGGGGTCCCATGGGAAGCCCACCTCACCGAGCCCTACAAGAGCTCCCCATCTCCCCTCGTGCCGCTGTGCGAGACCCCGACCCGAGGCCAGGGTGACGGGCTGGAGGGCCACCAGAGAGCTTGCGGGTGTCAGGGTCCTACAAGAGCTCCCCATCTCCCCTCGTGCCGCTGTGCGAGACCCCGACCCGAGGCCAGGGTGACGGGCTGGAGGGCCACCAGCGAGCTTGCGGGTGGCAGGGTCGGTCCCGGTGACCCCCCCCACCTCTCTCACCCCGAGGTGAACTGCCTGGAGCCCCATCCCCACCTCCCCGTCCTGG